TCAAACGGCATTTTCTAGCAGCCGTGCGCCTCTCATGCTTCGGCCTTCTCCAGGGCAGTGGCATTGTATTGCAAAGGACATCGCCTGTGTAAAGCCATTCGTTTTTCATTGCTGTCAAGTTTTCCGAGACCTGTCCTCCTTGGTTGAATAGCCGTGTGAGTGATCTCTCTGCATTTATTAGGTTTTACTGACGTTCGCTGGGCTTGGATGGACCAGCGTTGAGCCAGTCGAGCAGCTCATTATCCAGGCAAGCTGGGCTCAGAGTTCGCCTGAAGCCGAGTCACTGAAGCACTCAGCGGTGTAATAACATCTCCAGAACTGAGCCCCGTCTGTCCCTTTCTCTCCCAGCAGTGGCTCCGAGTTCAAACTCACCTTTCAATTTTGCTGGCATTGTGGCCCGCTGGGAGTGCAGTTTTAACTTTGAGCTGTGAGGAACAAGGCAAAGGGGTTTTGTGCACAGCGGATCTGGCAAAAATGCAGCAGACGACTTTGGTAGTGGTAGTACTGTAGCACATTTCTCTTCGGTCTGTTTAATAAATGGCTGGACTCTAAAGGACACATTTTTTTCTGCCATCGGGCAAGCCAGTGGTTTTAGTTTAATATAGGTCAAAAAAATTTTTTTTTGTTGATATGGCTTTTATTGTATTTATTACTTGGGTTTGTTTTTATTCTTTTATATAAAAAAAATTGAATTTGTGATTTCTGTTTTATTGTATTATTATTTTTTTTGTTTGTTTTTGTAGGTTTTGTATTGGATTTTATTTTATCTTTTGTTTTGGGTTTATTTTTATTTATTTTGTTTTGTTTGTTTTTTGATATTTTGTTTTGGCAGGTCCTTTTTTATTTATTTTTTTTAGGTATGATTTGAATTTTATTTGTTTGCTTTGTTTTAGGTTGTATTATTTTGTGCCTTTTTAGGTATTTTTTTCTCTCAGTTCGGTTTTTGCTTTATTCTATTTTTAGATGTGTTTAGTGTTAGTTTTGTTTTAGATTTGGTGTTTTTTAGGTGTCATTTTGGGCTTTGTTCTAGGGCTTTTGTTTTGGAATTGTTTTATTTATATTGTGTTTTTTTCTGCCTTGTTATGGATATGTTATGGATTTAGATACGTTTTTTTGTTTAAGGCCCTATCATACACTTGCCGCAATATAGTGCATGATGTGTTTGGCACGATATGTTGTTTTTTTTCAGACCAGTGTAACTCTAATTGTCAAGTTTTTGTACCATGTTGTTTAAATAGCAAGTCCATTTGCGCCACATTGTGGACTCATGGGTGTTCTGGTCTAAAAAGGAGGTGTACACAAATGTCTTTACATATGCATAAAAAATGTAAGAAAAAAATGTTACAAAAATTATTAGTTACTACATAAATATAAAATACTACCTCCAAAAGTGGATTCAGACATGCTCTTAATGCTTTTACGGCTTGTGCTTTAGACTTTGCGCTAAGATCGTTAAAACAGAGCCCTTAGTGTTAGTTTTGTTTTAGGTTTTGCTTTAGAATTAGTTTTGTTTTTAGATATTATTTTGGGTCCTTGTTCTATGTTTGTTTTATGTTTTTTGTGTCTAGTGCAAGCACACATGCTGTCATTAATATTTTAGATTAATTTGATTTGAAAGAGAAGATTTTTTCATGCTAAATAACATTGCATCTAATTCAGCTTGTGATGTACTTTTTTGATGCAGTGGTTAATGCACCATTTCTTTTTTGTTTTCTTTTTTTGGGTGCTAAAATAGGGCATGGGATTCTACCGTGTATCTCTCCATATGGGCGAATCCACTCAGTCTTCCCCATGCTGCTCAGAGGCGCTGATGTTACTGTAAGCAATCAGCATAAGACCCCAACTTGGAGTTTGTCCCACTTTTTTGGGGCATCTATTTTCCCTAAGAAACCTGCCCTCTTTATCTTCCCTCTAGACTTGTGTTTGCATTTCCTAACCCATATCCAGGAATGCTATAGAAGAGGGCACATGCATCAGGGTCAACAAGGCACCTGCACAAGATTGATGTCTGAGGATGAAAAGCACTCCTAAATAATTTGCGAATCCCTTTCAGAAAGTTACAGCACAATATTTCACATACGGTCGTGGCAGATTGGGGTCGACTGTGATGACTGTGTAGCGGGTGCAATACGGGGGTTTCTGGCTCATTTAAAAAGTGTTTCCCATCTCAGGAGTGTGGTCCACAGAGAAATGGAGTTGAAATAGTTTTGCAGTTCTAAAACAGTGCTGAAGTTTAACTTTATCAGGTCTTTTTCCCCCTCTAAATATGCAGTTTGAATATGAATGCCTGAGACTCAGAATGAACAAACGTTATATATATATTTAATGTTTTTATTTAAGCTATGATTTGCCATTGTAGTAAATTTTCTTTTTGGCTTAGTCCCTTTATTAATCAGAAATGAACCGCCAACTTACCCACTAGATCACTGGGAAACCCATACATTCTCATACACTTTCATGCACTACCGACCATTTTAGCATAATCAATTCACCTATACCACATGTCTTTGGACTTGTGGCGGAAAACTGGAGCACCCGGAGGAAACCCATGCGATCACGGGGAGAACATGCAAGCTACACACAAAAATGCCAACTGGCCCAGCCAAGACTCTAAACAGCGACCTTCTTGCTGTGAGGTGACAGCACTGCCCACTGTGCTTCTGCACCACCCAAAATAAATTCAGTTCAATTAAATTTCATACAGTATATATTTTACTATATATATTTACCTTATCCTCTCAACTTTTTTAGGACTTGGGCCCAATTTCAATTCTTTTACCCCCTACCCCTTTCCCTACCTCTTCCCCTTGGCCCTTGAAACAGAGTGTGAAGGAGAAGGGCTTCAAAATTTACCCCTAAGAAATGGGACACCACTTACACCTGAAAACCTCAACATATGTCATCGCGAGCTCTGACTTTATATGAGATCAACGATAGCGACTGTTGTGGTTATTCCAGTTACATTTATTTTTTGGTATTTATCTTCTGGAAATCACTGAAGGCAAGGATATCCTGTTATCATAATGATATAATGTGGCAATAAGATAACTATACTGTGCGTTTACACTGAGGCCATAATCATCTAAACACACGAAAACTACATCAACATTATAGCAGACACTGTAAAAAGCCACTAAACTTTTCTGACAGGGGATTCGACTGTCATCAATTGACAGATATGAAAGTATGTTGTTGGACTACTATACAGGAGTTATTATTATGGATTATATTTGGCGAAAAAAAGCATGACGGCATGATGTATTAAAACATGCTTTTTTGTTGTAAAAATTTGTAATAATGACAAAAAATACTAATTTGTGCATCAACTTCTGTATGCAGCCATGTTACCGTTGTAGATAGTGTATTCTGTGAAATTTTCATACCCTTTGGTTTCGAGTGTGGTCCTGAAAAATGTCCGTTCCGAGGGCAATCTAGCTCTTTCCCATAACCCTACGCTTTCGGGCTAAAGAAAAAATTGGGACACCAATGGGTATGGAAAAGGGCAAAGGGGTAGAATTGGGATTGGGCCTTAATATACTGATCGTAAATTGAACATTAATGTAATCAATAATTTAATCTTAATTCATTCAGTTTTCAATAAAAAAATAATTTTGTACCCTATTTACATTTATTTAAATAGATACAAACTTCATATAATCACTTTATAATTTGAAACAGTACATTTCGGTAATTGCCAATATATAAGTAGTTATATCGGTTTGGTCAATAAATGCTCAGTTTTATTTCATTGTTATCGACCTGATAACAAAATTAAATTATTGCCTCATTAATTAAGATTTTTTATTTATTTATTTTTTAAGTTGAGTGATCACTTTGGAAAAAAAAAATAGAATATTTGGATTTTGATTATGATTTAGCGATAAGAAAAGTCTACACTTCTTTCTTTTGTCGTGTTTTGAGCAGTTGAAGTTTTTATTAAAATTAAATAATTGATACATTTCTTTTGTTTGCAATTTCTTTTTGTAATTAGACTCGTTACAAAATATATCAATATTTGTAAATTTCAGTTTATCAAAGCATCCATAGTACATTCTTCATTTAAATAGTCACCTTAAATGATTTGATTAAGTGGGAAAAAAAGGAATTCATTTTTATTACTTTTGTGTCTTTATTATTATTTTTTTATCTAAAAAAATGTTTAGACTAACAACAGATTATTCTGTCGTTTTCTTTTGTATGACACCATATATTCAAACATACTTCTATGTTGCATACTTCTTAAAGCGAACTGCTGACCAGAGGGAAATAGCAGAATAAGAATTCATATTGTGCGGCGGGCCTTGCTCCAGACTTCAGTCTAACAAGAGGTGTAGGCATGTCACAAGGAGCTACATGCTTGTATAAGTTGTGAAATATATTGAAGATGCACTTAAATGTTCAGTTCTGGTATGCAGAAAAGGGTTGCAGAAAGAGGAAGTATGTTTGGGTGCAACAGCCAAAGGACTGCAGAATGACTGATAAGTGACGTTACACCAAAACTCCACCTGTTAATATCAGATGTGTATATACAGTATGCTGGAGTCAGGGAAATGTAAGTTAGTTGTGAACCTCCTGAATGTAATTGGGGTGCTGTAACCCAGAGCTCTGTCTTTGAGTTATTCATTTGTATCTAATACATTACTAATATTTTTAACATTGAAGAAAACCCTCTCCTAACCTTTTTTTATTGAACACTTATGGAATTGGCTAGATATATAAAATAGTTTTTAAACATCTAATAGCCATTAAAATGTGACTCTTTATTTAAAAATTGTTTGTAAATAATTTTGATGGTCTCCTTTATTATTTCTGCTAATTATAAGTAACCAGTTGAGTATTTGTAAACTGAGTCGACCAAATAGGGGACCATCAAAATAAGTGTTACTCAGCATTTTCTAATTTTGGAAGATTAAAAAGAACTCATAAACTTTATAAACTCGAACTGAATTGAGCTTTATAGTAAGCTTTAATAACAGAGAATCTTTGTCTCTTCTCCTCAGAAATATAGATACCAGGATGAGGACACTACGTCACCTCCCGAACACAGCTCTCCACACATCCCAGGAGATGCACGTCCTCCTGAGTTGGTGCAGGTGTCGGAGAAGAACATCTCCCAGATTGAGAATGTACACGGCTATGTTTCCCATTCACACATTTCTCCAATGAAGGTAAACTCTCTCCACTCATTTTGCTCCATGACACATTTCTGTGCTGCATGGCATCTATATTGTGTCTCTGTGCTCTCTGTAAACATGCTTAAATGTTGCGTGTGATAGAATCTCCATCAATGTCATGTTTACGCACACACACACACACACACACACATACACGTACACACAAACACAGACTAAAGTAGAAAATGCGAATGCATGTTGTTAATTATTTCTTAGGATAACTGATCAATCATGATTAATTATCAGAAAACTCTTAATAATTCTTAATAAATCGAATATATATTTTATTTCAGTTCAATTTCACATTCATGGCCAGTGTCTGCCAAAGAATGTTTAATTGGAAGACTATAGATGTTTTAATGTGAAATATATACAATCCTCTGCCTTTTTAACTTTTAGCTAGTTTTGTTTCAAAACAACAGCAAACTTAAAATCTAAAGAATATGTATATTTTTATTAACAATAAGCAAGATTCAAAGATGTGTGTTTTTTTGTGCTTTTGAATTGCATTAATAGACCTTCATCTGTGCTTTGACAACTTTTGATGTTGAATTGGTCAAGTTATAAACATTTTCTAGTTGTATAGCAATACATTTTAAAATAAATTACAAATAGAAATAAATAAAAAAATTCAATCTAACAGATCCAAGTTACAACAGGTTTACTTTGAGGGATGTAAATAAAAAAAATGTTCCCAACGCATTTCCTGTTTTACATTTTTAATTTCTATAACTTCTGAGAATCCAAAAAGAGCTACACATTGATGAATAATGTTATAAAACACTGTAGCTGTTTTGACAATAAGTTATGAGTGAATTGCTACCCGTTACAGTTATGAAATAGTTTGATAACAAGCAGGAAATGTTATTGGGCAAGTGACATCACCACATTTGGTCTCCATAATTTATTTTATAATATATTGCAATAAACTATTTTGTTTCAAACCATTGGAAGTGTTAGATATCGCTTTTGGTTAAACTTTTCAACATCAAAAATGGTCTGAACAGAGATTAAGATCCAGTTAGGCAATTTAAAAACAAAAAACAATTAACCGTTAATACCCATAAATTGCAAATTACGAAAACCGTTAACTAGCTAGAAACAATTTAAAATGCTTTTTTTCCTTATTTAAACACAAGTAAACTTTACTTCTAGCTCTGGGCTACACTATACCTATGTGATTCAGCAAAGTAATGTTACTTATCTTTTTTGTTGTGTTAAGTTCAACACAGAGTGTAATGCATCATGCCCAGTATGGGAAAACAGGTCAGTAGCACCTGCTAAAACAATAGCTTGAAAGCTATCTCAATTTTCAATTAGACATTTCAAACTTTTTTCAAACAAACAAACAAACAAACAAACAAACAAACAAACAAACAAACAAACAAACAAGCAAGCAAGCAGATACAGAGCACACATGAAGTGGATATTAGACTCAAAGCTAAACTTGTGTGTTAGCACGTGTTGCTAAGCTAATGACAGTACTGTAAACACAAAGTGCACACTACTGGAGTATTTTAACTGTATATAACTACTAAGAACCCAAGAAAAGTCTCAGTGTGTGTGTGTGTGTGTGTGTGTGTGTGTGTGTGTGTCAGATGAAAAGATAGCACCCGCAAGCAAGAAATTAGCAACATGACTTTAAACTGAAACTGGACTTGTTCACAGTTGGCTTTGTTATTGTGGTCATCATTAATGGATTATAGCTGGTCCACTGAGACTGTTCTGCTGTACAGTGACTCAGTTTTCTGCAGCTGTCGGATGAAGCTCTAAAAATATGGATGCAGAGGGAAACATTTGTCAGAAGGTTAGCCCAGTTATGCATTCAGTACCTTATGTTAGCAGTTAGGCTAACTCTGAATGATTCTTTTTTACCATGAATGAGAAACCTTTCAGGGTCAATGCATGTTGTTTTTGAAAACATTGATCAACATTTGGCCAACATGATTACATCTTCACGTTTTCTTGATAGAAAGAATGTTGAGGATTTTGCAGAATGGATTTAAAAATGTCAATTGTGTTAAACTGTTCTGGGAATGCTGGACTCTTACTGGTAGCTGAAAGCCATATCAGATTAGCCAGAATATCTAATAAAATATCACATATCGCCACAGTGTCATAGCCAGACATGATACAATAAAGCAATAAAAGCTTTTACACTTTTTTAGTCTGTGTTGTCAGGACAGTTTAGTCAATTATTTTTAGAGAAAATGTGTAAAGTTTGTAATTGTGAAAAAATATATAAATCTAATATGGAAAAAAAAAATTACTTTTTAAAATCCATTAGTTTTTATTTATTATTAAATGAGCGGAGGGCGAGGCAGTTGTGCAGTAGGTAGTGCTGTCGCCTCACAGCAAGAAGGTCGCTGGTTTGAACCTCGGCTTAGTTGGCGTTTCTGTGTGGAGTTTGCATGTTGTTCTCCCTGCCTTCGCGTAGGTTTCCTCCTGGTGCTCCGGTTTCCCCCACAGTCCAAAGACATGCGGTACAGGTGAATTGGGTAGGCTAAATTGTCCGTAGTGTGTGAATATGTGTGGATGTTTCCCAGAGATGGGTTGCGGCTGGAAGGGCATCCGCTGCGTAAAAACTATCTGGATAAGTTGGCGGTTCATTTCGCTGTGGCGACCCAGGAATAATAAAGGGACTAAGCCAATAAGAAAATGAATGAATGAATGAATGAATGAATGAATGACATTTGTCGTAATCAGGAAGTTATTTTTGAAAGTAGTAAATTACAATATTTTTTGGGGTGAGTTACACCCCCCAAAAAGTCACTAATACTGTTACTTAGTTACTTTTTATGGAAAGAAATGCAGTATATAACTTTTGAGTTACTTTTGTGTCACTTTTCTTTACCTGGCTGAGGTTTGATCACCACCTATAGAACCTACACCTTCATTTACCTTTAAAATAATATTATCTTTTGAGAACTTTCTTAGCCCAGAGCTCTATATGCTGTATACAGATTAATAAAAGCATGTAAAGTAATGTGTTTGCTACATATGTGCATTTTGTGTTATTAGTTAAGTAAATTCACTGTCCATTGAGATACAGATTGCAACAAAGCAGAGTACATGAAATAATTTATATTAAGGCAAAAACAGATTTTAAAACTTTAATGTGTGTGAATGGACAAACCAGCAGGCTGAGCACATTGTAAAACATCTGAAATGTTGTTTTGGTCATTCTAAAATGCCTTAACCATTTCAGTATTATTGTTATTATATTTATTAATTGCCTTCAGGCCTGTCAAGTGCGTCTCTGCTCTGCGTCTCTTGTTTTCCATTGCCACCACAGGTTTATCGCATGTCGGCATTGTCTTTTGAGGCGCAAGTCGTTTATTAAATAAAGAAAAGATTCACGTAGCTTCTTCTACTGCAGTAAATTTCGTTTTTACTGTTAATATTTGGCGCCAGTTAATCAGGAAGTGACTATTTTGTTCAGTTTGTCTCATTGCATGGATTTATTCGCACTTAACGACAATCTATTGTGATGAGTTACAAATGAGAAGAATCCATTGCAAAAATGTAATCTCCTGCCTGCCATTGTTTCTGTTTCTGACTGTCTGTAGCGATGACGGGCGATTCCTGAATGAATCGGTTGATTTAACCAGATCTTCTTAGTGAACCGGTCGATCTAGTTCATTAAATTACACTGAGGTTTCTTGAAACTATTTGGTCTTCAGTAAGTACTTACTTTTAAACATACCGGATACCACCTCTGACGCGAAATAAACCAATATCCTGAGTTATTAAGTTAGTAGAACAGTGCACTGACTAATCTGCTGTAAAAAAGAAACCTGATGATGATGAGTGCGAGCCGACTGCCTGTTACCTCGTAGCTCGCTCTATCATTGAGTGTGTTAATTAACCTAAGGTAATTTTTATTTGGCAATATATTTTTAAAAGGCAATTGAGCAAGGTAAAAAGTAACTCATGTAAAGTAAAAAGTAATGCGTTATTTTACTTGTTACTTTTAAAAGGACATTTGCTACTTACAATGCGTTGCCCACAATACTGTTTGTAATTTAAAAAAAAAAAAGTCCATTTGTTTCAAAATAAATGTTTAATCAATCACTATAAATCGTTTGCCATTAGTATCTACTTACAGTAAATCATGAAGAGAGCATAGTAATGGGAATGCTTCATTTAAAATAAAAATATATTAAGGTAAATTTTAAAGAATAAAACATTAAATCAGTTTTAACACAAATTGTAAATCCAGAGAAACAATCATTAAAATGACATTTTAATAGTACTTTTCTTTGCAGGCCTGTTAATAATGTCCTACTATTCTGGCTCTCAGAATGGTCCTCCCACTATTTTATTATTATCCTTTATTATCCATGAACAAAAATTGTTGTACATTTGGAAAAACAATAGTGTAGACAATTTTAAATTGTAATTTTATGCAAATATTTTTATTAGTTTTCTGTGCAGGCCTATTAATAATAACCTACTATTGCTCTCAGAACGGTTCTTCCTCTAAATGACAATTTTCCTTCATCCTCCATAAAAAGCAGTTGTTGCAGCGGTTTGTCGATGGATGTGTCTGTTTTAAAAGCTACAGTTCCAGAGCTGATGTTTGAGGAGGAGCAGCGTTGGGCTCAGATCACTGGATCTCCCCGCATGCAGACAGAGCCCTGCCTGTCACCTCCCATCAGCCTCAGCTGCACACACACACAAACACACACGCATACAAAAACACACTCGCTCTGTCATCACTATGAGCCTGCATTCCTCCTAAATCAGTCCATGTGCTCCAGGCTGATGGTGCGTTTCTGGCTGCTGGCCGAGCTGACGCGCAAACATGAGCTCTGGGAATCCGTGCTTCATGCTACGGACACACATCGGCGTTTGCTCTTTGCACAAGGAAGCATTTTAGCACCTTGTTTGTTGAACACAGTGCTGGATTGTTTGGTTGTGATTTAAGATGGTTATTTTCTTCATATTTAGCCTTGTGATGTGATGATTTGACCGTTTTTATGGGCATTAGT